ACAGTAATGACTGAGTGCCTACTGGACATCAGGCACTGCCTCAAACCCAGTGCAGTAAGACACAGCCTCTGTCCTTGAGAAGCTTGCAGGGGAGAAGACCTGCTAACTAAAGAATTAAAACACACAGGACTCAAATTCTAGGGGAGACAATGGATGAGTAAGGAAGAGACCCCATGGAGTTTGGGAGAGGGTAGAAGGCAGCTGGAATGGGGGAGGGCTTCCTGGAAGGGCTATATTTGAGGAAAGTCTTAAAGAAAACCAAGAGTTGATGGGACTTCAAAGGGTCAAAGCAGCCTAGATCTGGAACATCTAAATTCCTCCTGGAAGCTAGGTAGTGGCTCTCACATGGCTGTTGCACCCTTGGACAGTACCTGGTGCTCAGGCACATGTGTGGCAGTACATATCTCCAATTTCCCCTCCCTCAAACTGGGTCTGGGTGCAGGTCTGGGTCTGGGAGAACTATGCCGAAGCCTGAACAATTCAGAGCCCATTCTGACAGTATCCCTTCATTCCTCATCCCAGCACGTGAGTCCTGCCTGACAGGAACAAGCAGATGGCTGCATCCTCTCCTAAAACCCATGCCCACCCAGGCCCCTGCACCCTCAGGGCACAAGGGCAGGCAGAGTTCAACCCACAACTGTTCTGTCTTCTTTCTGCAGAGTAAGGTGAGGGGCGCGGGGCCTTACTGAGATGGGACAGCCATCCTTGGGGGCAGCATGGACTGTTTCAGGAAAGGGACAGATACTCGACATTCACAACCCAGCCACTGAACCAGGCACATTATACCCAATATTTCAATGAATGTCATGTATTTCACTGAACTCTATCTCCTCCACTCAGCTATAACCACAACATATTACTTGACTTTTTTGGGGGACTCAGTTTCCTCGTCTGTATAATGAGGATGACACTCATTCCTACTTCACAGGGTGCTTTTTAGGATCCTTGAGAAAAGCAACGAAAGGATTTTGTGAACTGTGAAGTCCTGGCAAATGTGCGCTTAGTTGTACTCATGTCTATGGGTCAAAGCAGCCTTTTATCAGTCATTGGGCATTTGTCATGTACACATCTTGTACAACCAGTTAAATTTTAAATAAATATCCGTCTGGTAGTCCATGAGCTACCTGAGGGAATGCCATGACTTTCCTGGCCTTGACCTTCATACAGGATATTGGCCCTCTGCGGTGGCTCACACGGTGCCTGCACAAAGAAGGAGGTCTACAGACGCCCCCTGACTCTGTGAGGCACCTTAATACCAACCAACCAACTGGTTGCCGTTGAGTCAATTTCAACTCATGGCGACCCCTTGTGTGCAGAGTAGAACAGCTCCATAGGGTTTTTAAGGCTGTGACCTTTCAGAAGCAGATCGCCAGGCCTGCCTTCCAAGGCACCGTTGAACCTTCCAAGGTTCAAAGGTGGGTTTGAACGGCCCACCTTTTGGTTAGTAGTCGAGCATTTAACCATTTGCATCACCCAGGGACTCGGTGAGGCACCTTCGGTCCCTCCTACTTTCTTCTTACCTTCATCAGCTCTTGCAGTTTGGGGTCACTGCGTGAGTTTGGATCCACCATCGTTCGAACTTCATTCTCCTCTTTAAAAAGAAAAGGAGTTCAGTGGAATGGTTATACTTGAGGGCACTGAATTAATCCAAAGAGGCAGGAGACATAGCTACCAAGCATCGTGTCCTCAGGGTCCAGCTCGAAGGGAATTGGACTGAGGGGCAGGTTGATGGCGTTCATCCCTTCCTCCTGAAGCTCTGAAACTGAGAAGAGAAAGAAGAGCCGAGTCACATTTCAGCGACTGGTGACAGGGGGATTGGTTCTCTGTAGCAAGTGTGTTCGATATTGATATTGAGAAATAAAACCACTAAGGTTAGATTCCAGCTATTAGTCTGCAATCGATTCCTGTTCTCTCCCTGCTTAAAGGACCTAATTGTCCCCTTAATCTCACCTCTTCCAACTGTCACCTCACACGCCTTCCTCAAAGAAACAGGCAGGTCTCAGAGATGCTGAAATATGCCTCCTCTTGGAAATTATCTCAGAGTAAATGGAATCAAAGTGGGCGTTGACTTCTTTCTTTAGCCTCTGCCGCCTGCCTCCTGCCTCCCCTCCTCCAAGGCTTGCTGTCTGAAGCACAGTGGGTGCCCAATAACTGTTTGTTGACCGGAAGGGTGAGGTCAGGAATTTAAGGCTATATTATAAGCCATTTTGACCCTAGGTTCAACCCTCCTCTGACTTCTCTCCTGATTTGCTTCCCTGAGATATTTTCTGATTATCCTACCTTCCTCCGCCACCCAACCCCAGCTGCTGCACAACAAGGTCTCAGTCTCAGCCTCTTCCCTGGGCTCTGGTCCTGTCCCTTCAGCTCTAACAAGCTGTGGAATCTGGGACGATCACCTTCCCCTTCTAGGCATGTTTTCTACATCTGAATTATGATTTTCAAATCGTCTTGTTGTTAGGTGATGTTGAGTCGATCCCGATCCCAACCTGTAGTGACCTAATACGACAAAGTGGAACTGCCCTATGAGCTTTCTAGGCTGTAATCTTTACAAGAGCAGATCTCCAGGTCTCTTCTCCCACGAAGCAACTGGGTGGATTTGAACCGCCAAGCTTTCAGTTAGCTGCTGAGTGCTTAACCACTGCACCACCAGGGCTCCTACAAAAACCAAAACACCAAACCTGCTGCTGTCAAGTCGATTCCAACTTATAGCGACCCTACAGGACAGAGTAGAACTGCCCCATAGGGTTTCCAAGGAGCACGCGGTGGATTCAAACTGCCGACCTTTTGGTTAGCAGCCGAACTCTTAACCACTACACCACCAAGGTTTCCACCAGGGCTCCTAGAACTCTACAATTCCACCTTCCTTAAGAAAAGTAAAAAGAGGTCAAGGAACGACCACTAAAGACTTCCAGCCAGCTCATCTCCACACATGCAACCCCCACATGGAGCCTCAGGGAAAAAAAAAAAATTCCTACCACAAGACCAGTTGTGTGATGGAGACGTGGTGAGTGCTGACCTTGGATTACCCCTCCTAAAAGCAGCAACTTAAATCCCCCTCCGTCTATTCGACTCCAGTTTGGATAATTACTTTTCGCCAATTAAGCACAGAAAAGCCATTTTCTCTGAAGGCTTTGGTCACCGAAATGTTCTTAAAGAGCTCATGTGGCAGCTGCAGTCAACCTTAATAAAAGCAATGTCCCATCTTTCCATTTTATTTTTTTATTGACTCTGGCCTCACCAGTTGCCAGCATATACTTGCAAGAACTCTTAAACACAAGGCAGCCACTTACAAAGAGTTCTTTCACATTAGCAAACTCAGTGATAGTTGCAGTTGGACAGGGAATGAGATTGCCTAACAAAGAGAGTGAAACACACTCTACCCTACAGAGACACAACTCACATTATGAAGCTGGCATTTAGTCATGTCCTAGCAGCCCCTTGACATTTATATGGGATATTAGCCCATCACCATCTTGAATCCTCAAATTCACAAACACCGTCTGTTCCCTAAAATTCTCCCCATAAAACATAACTTAAAAATATAAGTGACACCTTCAAAAGCTAAACAATGCTATAAATATAGGATTGTATTTGTTTTCTAGCTAAGAACAATTACTTCCTTAGACTGCTAAATTTCTTCTCATGTCCCTCCTAGAACTAGCTATTGCTTTCTTTTCCAGGCTGTTTTTCACAAAGAAGTGAAGTTTTCATTACTTAGCAAGCACTACTGTGTATGCAGCAGGCAGGAGAAATAAAAGCATGCTTAAATGGGGATGCAAGGCTGTGCTAAAGGACCAGAGAAGAAACTTGCTCCCGCATAGGACCTTCTCTCCTCTATCTACATTCTCCCCATAGGTCTGCACTTACCAATATGGTAGCCACTAGCCACAGGTGGCTATTTACATCTAAATGCATTAAACCGAAATTCAACTAAAAATTCAGTTCCTCAGTTGCACCATGCACATTTCAAGTGCTCAAAGGCCCACATGTGGCTAGTGGCTACAGTACTGGGCAGCAGAGCTATAGAACATTTCTATCAGCACAGAAAATTCTATTGGATTGAATTGCCCTAGGTGAGCCCATAAATCTAAATACTGATGGTGTCCACATTTAAATTTCCAGCCCAGGACTTACCCTGAGCTCCAGACTTATGAATCCAATTGTCTATTAACAGATATGTCAAATTTACACATACAAAACTATACTCTTGATTTTCAACACCCATGTTCCCACCGTATAAAAACCAAGACAAGACCTGTTCTTCTCCTGTTCTTAACCTCCTCAGTAGATGGCACCACCATTTACATAAGGGATCAAGTCAAAATCTGAGGAATCACCATTACCCCTTTCGTTACTACATTTGTTTTTTTGATGGTGTGTTTTCAGTATAGGAATGCATGCTTACTAATTGACTGTGTTTAAATATTTGGTTGGTAATTTCGATTTTGAGAAATATGATCTGGTAATACAAGCCACCGATGAGGTGAGCGGCACTTTGGCACCACTGATCTGCGGTATGACAATATACCAATAAGAGCTAGATAAGCAATTTATTGTGGGTGCTTTCCCATTAGATTACACGGGGAACATCTGGTTTTCTAAATATGACACAGAAAACCCAAAACAAACCCATCAGGGCTCCCTAACTATCACAAAGGAAAGCTGTAATTATGCTTGCAAGCCTTATCTCACAGAAATAAAAGTAAAGGAAAAAAAAGGCAAAGTTTACAAAACTAACACATCCGGAAAGCATCACCTAACAGAATGCTCAACCTACACAACAATGAGGCTCCAACTCCAGTCTGCTGAGGTTCACACTTTTCAAAAGGAACTCACCTTGACACTAAATCCATTAGAACCAGAAGAACGCCTTACTTCTGAGGTCCAGAGGCATAAAAGTGGCTGGCATACCATGTATGCCAATGGTAATGAATGACTTACTTACTTTCTCCTTGTCTTTCATCTTTTACATCTAATGCATTGCCAAGTTTTGTGGGTCCACCTCCAAAATAGGGCTCCATTCCAACCATTTCTCACCATCTCCGCTACCACCATCCTGGTCCAAGCCACTGGACCTTCTAACCAGTTTACTGCTTTTTCTTGCCCTTTCTCCAACCCCAATCTAATACCCATCCAGGGAATGACCTTTTAGAAGTGTAGATCAGATCATACCATTCTGCTTTCACCCCTCCTGTGTCTTCTCATCATACTCAGAATAACATTCCAACTCCTCACTTTGACCTACAAGACCTCTGATCAGGGCCCTGTCTCCCTCTCATGTTTTATTTTCTGCATAGCACTTGTCATAATCTGAAGTAATTATTTGTTTTATATGTCTGGTATCTATTTCTTCCTACCAGAAGGTAAGCTCTGTGAGGGCTGGCACTTCATCTCCTTTGTTCACCATTGGATCCTCAAAGAGGGCAGATGGTGCAGTGGTTAGGAGCCAGACTGCCTGGATTCAAATCCAGGCTTTACCACTTACTAGCTAGGTGACCTTGCGTGAGTTCATTAACCTCTCATGTCTCCATTTTCTCAGCTACAAAATGGGAGTGATACTAGTATTACCTACCTCCTAGGGTTGTCGAAAAGGAGTCCCTGGGTAGTACAAACAGTTAATGTGCTTGGCTGTTAACCAAAGGTTGGAAGTTTGAGTACACCCAGGGGTGTCTTGGAAGAAAGGCCTGGTAATCTCCTTCTGAAAAATCAGAGTAGAACTGGAATACAGCTCCTCTCTGACACTTATGAGATTGCTATGAGTTGGAGTCGACTTGATGGCAACCGATAGGGTGGTTGAGAAGATGAAATGAGTTAATGTATCTAGAGCACTTAGAAGAGTGACTGGTACCTGGTAAAAGATATGTAAATTATTATTATTGTTGCCTAAAATGTTAATACCTAAAATAGTATTGTTACCTCATGCATAGCAAGCACTCAAGAAATACATGTTGAATAAATGAATAATCAAAACTGTTAAAACCACCCTTCAATTGCATAAGCTCTGAGTTGAGGCAAAATCTGCCAAAGCAGTGTATAGTATTCAAAGAAGGACCCTACTTAGTCTTTGGAAAAAAAAAAATTTACATCCTGGCCAGACCCTGTGCTTGTGTGCCTGTGTGTGTGCACGTGTGCACATTTCAGGGGCAGCATTTCCAGCTTACGTGTTTGTAAGGGGAGAAAACCCTCATTTGTCCCAAGACTGCTTATAGCCAGAGCCAGTTTGTGACTATAGAGAGACTTACACATCTCTAAAGTGTGACTGAGGAGCCCTGGTGGCATAGTGGTTAAGCGCTTGGCTGCTAACCAAAAGGTCGGCGGTTCGAACCCACCAGCACCTCTGTGGGAGAAAGATGGGGCGGTCTGCTTCCTTAAGATTTACAGCCTTGGAAACCCTGTGGGACAGTTCTACTCTGTCCTATAGGGTCTTTATGAGTCAGAATTGACTCGATGGCAACGGGTTTTTTAAAGTGTGACTAGAAATGCAATACTGCCAGCCAGGGCTCCTAAAGGTGGGTCTTAATGGGACCTCTTTTTCATATGTAGATCATTGCTAAAAATGTTTTCCAATGAAAAATCCCCAGTCAGAAACACTCCCCTGTCCTGCCTCTTTAATTCACACTCAGAAACATGACAAGCCCGAGAAGAAAGGCTGAGATATGTTTGCAATTGGAAATGTTTTTTTTTCAGGAAATGATTTGGTACAGGAACATCATTCCCATTCCATTAACCGCTGACTCTGAGCCAACTGTTTGTAGAAGTGAATATGCAAACTGCCCTGTTCAGGGCTGGCCCCCGCCCCATGGGACTGCATTAGTGGCCACTTTCCCAAAACAGCCCGCCTGCTTTGGAGGCTTCATTTCTATTAAACCAAAGCAGAGCCCAGCAGAAGCCCCTTACCAATCCCTATGCTCTGAAAGAGAAAGAGCTACAATTGAATTTTCTCGGTATAGAATATGAATATGATGTTTATCCCCCGAATCTCCTCTAACAATCTAAAACTAGGTCTGAATGTGTGGCCCTCGGTGTCTCGCGGCACCATTACATAACTTAATAAACAGATTAAACGTCCAGCTGAAGGTCGGGCTTGGGAGAGCAGGGTGATTGCCTCAAAACCTGAAGTACTCACCATGAGAAAGGGAGCTTTTGCTTCTCTGGGAAATGTGTCCATCTGCGCAGCAGAAAGTATATGGAAGTAGAGTAAGGATATTGTTGATGTGTTGTGAGATTGTTAACCATTGTCAT